AGTTATTATTTTCCAAGTTGAGGCCTTATCTTCCTTTTTTTTTTTTTTTTAATGACTGAGCTCAGAGCACAACCAGAAATATTGATTCTGAGTTAAATACAACTGTTTTGTAGAATTCTGTGGTGGTAGGATTGGCATTCCAAAAGTTAATTCTCAACTTCACCAAAAAGGACTTATCATCAGGAAAGTACCACCTCAACTGAATATATTAATGAAATTCTTCTTTTAGAGATAAGCTACTTATAAAACTCAAGATGGCATCACAGACCCTAAAGCAAATACTTGATCTCTCCCTAGATGTAGTTCACTCTGCAGGTTCTGTTGCGCATAAATAATTTCTAAATACAAACATCTTTGATACTTCTTTAATTTAATTAATAATAGTTGATGCATTTACTTGAACCATCAAATTTATATATCTAAGAGACAGAGAGAATGTTATTGTTGGTTCTATGGTAGAAACAGAACATATTGTGAACAAAGGGGAATTTTGAAAGTGAAATTTCTAACATGCATTTAGAGAACTGCCACTCTAATGAATCCCTGAGGGCTGGAGATAATGTAATTCTTCCAAGGAATGACAATTTTGTGTATGTGTCCTGGGCCCAAACCAGAAATTGGTCTTTACGTCTCTTAGAATTATTGAAGCATTCTTGCTGAAGACCAGTGGTTGGAGATGCATCTGGCCCTACCATCATATTATGGGTGAACACTGATGTGGATTTTGAATGAACGCACCAAAGAGTATTTGAGGACCAATATTTTTAATATACTAGGAACTTAGACTGACAGTAATTCATTTGTAATTCTGCATCACTACACATAGGCTTTCACATTTCACAGATTAATGATTAAATTTAACAAGTATGTTTTCCCATTTTATTTTTTTGCCTAGAAAGTAAGTCCTATTAAATAATATTGTTTCTTATCCCTGGCAGCTAATTTAATTTAGGCGAAATTAGGCCTCTAGAACTTCGCTACATAGCACATTATTGCTGATTTATTCCAAAGTTAGCTCCACTATTGTATATAACTTATGGATGGGAGTGGACACACCTTTTATAGACAGAAAAGTACCTAAAATAGTCTTCTAAAATAGGAGAAAAATATTTCAAAATGGTATTTTCATTATATTAATGAGAAGTTAAGATTTTACCACAGTTCTTAAACTTGGATTTTAATTACTGTCTATGAAAAGTATGTTCTTGTGAAATATTAAAATGTATGTTTTTATCACATTATAACCAAAGCCATATTTATTAACTCATGTGTGCTGACCATGGTACTCTGCATTTTAATTTGTCTCAAATTACAAACACATTCTTAGAATTGAGTTGGTTTTTATGTATGCAGTGCATAAAACATTTAATAAATATATTTTTGTCCAGAATTTTAATTTGTTTATGTACTGTGCTATAATAAAGTAGATTAGTAGCTATTTAACTTTATTTAGTGTCAACACACATTCTTTTGTGGAGGATAAGCAAAAAAAAAAGAAAACCTTTTAAGAGATATAGGAAATCTCTGGGAAGGAGGATTCTTCTGATTTTTGGTCTGAGTTTTATACTTTTTTTAATGTCAACAATCTGTGTTATACAGGAAGAACAATTTATTTATTTTTTAAGATGACAGGCAGCACAATTATGATATGTATTTGAAATTGTGGAGAGTTACTATGGGTAATCATTTTGAGCTCCATCTTAATCACCATTCCTTATAACGATGTTTTAAAAATATGCTGTGTATTACACTGGAGATAAAGAAGAATTCCAGATTTTCTAATACACCAAGGCTTTAGTGTAGATAAGTTTTCCTTTACTACCTGCACATTAGATGAACATTCTACTTAGTTCAATGTAACTTGGTTCATGAAAATTGTTAAATAGATATGTAATGTATGAAATTAGACTTATGGTTTTCTCCGTACAGATTTCATATACTCACACACAGTCATACATTTATGTTACTTAGAATGTGTTTTTGTTCAATTGACTTTGGTCTTATTGGAATCTGCTGTGCTTTGACATGAGATATTATAAGATATGAAATTTAAAATCATCAAGATGCAAGTTTATGCATTGTTACAAACTCTAATCATGATGACTTGAGTGTAGGGACAGCTAGTTCTCTTTACAGAAGGCTCACGTGTCATTTAACTCACTTTTATTTGTGCAATGAAAGTTGTGTGCTAATATATTGTTTAACCTATTTTTCACAGGGGGTAGGATAAAAGTCTATTTTTAAAGAATTCACAAAAATAATGCTTAAAATTATAACACGTCATTAAATTTGGCTATTTATGAACTTGAACCATTTCAATAGACTCAGACATTTCCTGGATCTAAGTTAATATTAATAGTAAACTTATCCTTTTATAGTTATATTGAACATTAGAACCAAAATGCTTTTGTATTAATTCCTTGTACCGTGAATTTATTATTTTGTAGCCATGCCACTTGAAATCAATACCTTTCATCACATATTAGAAAAGTAATCCAGGAAAATGCTTTTTGTTAATGATATGCTAGAGTCCAAATATTTTAGGAGAAAGTTTTATTTAGTGTTGCTTATTCCATTAATACGGAGGAGATGTGACTTACAAAGGCAAGTTAGAGCAGTTAAAATGTCAATAATATCTTTAAGTTTAGTAATTAAATGGCAAGAAGAAACAAATATAGTTTAAAACTACATATTTAAGTTTTGGAATTTATTTTAATGGGTGATAATGGAAGTTAGTGATAAGAAAACTTTTAGAATTTGTTCAGAATGTTAAGGAAGAATAATTGTATACTAAAATATAAAAATATTATTGTATATTTTTAGTATATATTGACAATACTATCTATGCCTAAAATTGGGGGGGATGGTTTTATTTTAAGCTGCAAAATCTGTAGCATCCATATTACACTGCCAGGATAAGATACGGATTATTGCTGGCTGCACAGGGAAATCACCTAATAACTATGTCTGTCCCATCTAAAACCAATTAAATTAAAGTCTTCATTCACGATCATTATCCTACAAAGCTTATAGATGATATAATAATTTTGCTTGAAAACAATGTTTTCATAGTAAAGAGTGCTCGATATCATTATCAAAATGTACCAGAAAAGTCATCTTTTGGTTATTTACATATAAGCAAATATTCACAAGATATGTTAATCTAGAGATACTTAGGACAAATTGGGTTAAAACAGGGTTGAACCATTACATGAGAAATTGGGCCATAAGTCAGAGAAAGATCCCAAAGTTTTAACATTGAAGTCATATTATTGAAGCATACAACAAACTTTGTTTTCTTGAAGTCTTTTAAATAAGGTGGATTTTCATCAGTTTTTGTTTAACCTCAAAGACTTATCAAAGCAGCTTTCAAATTACTAATTTTATCTAAGTTGTTTTATTTTTGTCACAGTACTTCAAAACGAATTAGCACTTAAGAAGTCATCAGACCTTATTACACTGTATATGACATTTTATTGAGAAAGCTTTATAAATTGCAGTAAGATTTTGAATAATGTTTGTAGTTAATTTTAATTTTATCATTATAAATACTTTTTTCTTTCAAGAGAAAATAAAACTTTGGTATTATGATACTGAAGACAGCAACTTTAAAAATAAGTATCTGACCTTTAAAACCAATAAAAATAAAGGAGAAAAAAAACTTTCCTTTTACAAATTTTCTTATTTCATTAACCGAAGTGGTCCAGTAGAAGATTAAAATTCTAAAATTATAAACACCAAGTTGTGTATATATTTTAAAGTGAATGATTTTGAGAGGGTTAGAGACCTCATGTGGAGTAAATTTTAACAGAATATAGTTTCTTCTAATGCAATTTTTAATATTCAACCCTTTATAAAACAAATTACTTTTACCTATATGACATATTTGAAGAACATTTTGTATTTATTGTAGTAGTATAACATTCTCCCTCAACCTTTCTAAGATATTATATTTCTCAGCCACCGAGAAACTGAAGTGTATGGATTTTTTATGCTTCCATATTTGATGTGTTTCCTGTTACATTTCTTTTATAGTGCCTATATCTGCCAGGCGTGTCATTTACATAAAAAGTTTTTACTTAGGACCTTCAGAGATATCAGCCAAACGTTTCCCCAATAACCAGCTAGACATCTCATTGTTAGATGGCATGCTTTCCTCACTCTGTTAACATTTTTCTCTTTCAAGATCCACAGGGAGAAACATTTTAAGTGACTTAGTCTCATGTATGGGATGTAAAAGACCACTTTTCTCACATGGGTTACCCACTCTGTCCTTTCTTCCTATACAATTACTGAAATTACTGAAAGAACTGATGCTTTCCAGTACTTTTTCTTTTTTTTTCTCTCAGATGTTTTCTTTAGCATTCTGTTTTTAAGCTGAAACAATAATAAATAAAGGTTCATAAGTTCATGTTTACAAAGTAAGGATTGTAAAGGTCTTTTTATGGCTTTCATAAAATTGAATAGTCTGTCATTTGTATGTACTCTTTTGCCAAAAGTTATTCTTGATATTGACTTACTCGACACCATGTCCAAAAGTATTTGTCTTGTTTTTAGCTGATGAGGGAAGAGGATAGAGGCCAGTGGATAATTTTGAAAGATACGATATAGTTCAGAAGAGCAGAATGGGAGACACTAAGTTTTAATACTTATCTCAATTCAGTGAATAAAATTTCATCCAGCATCACTAGGTGGCAGGCTGTGCCTTGGTATGGACGGGAAGTGGAGTGGATTAACCCTGTACCTTCCATACTTTTTGTGTGTGTTTCTAGCCTGATGATGACAATTAAAGAAAGCTCTCCTATAGTCTGAAGTGCTTTTGTAACACATTCATTCCAAGGATTCAGGTTACAGCCTTTGCACTGAGGATTATCTTTCTGGGATACACACAGTCAAGATTATGATATTCATAACTTTCATAGATTGAAGAAGTTGTACTTAAAATGATTAAAGCATTCTCTACTCTAAAGCATTACACTTCCCTTTTTTTTATTGTGCAGGTGACTTGGATTATTACTGGTTGGATCCTGCCACGTGGCATAGTCGGGAAACATCACCGATTAGTTCGGTAAGTTTTCTGAGAATTGAGTTTGGAATTTAAGGGTAATGTGTGCTGTTTATTGTCCTTTGCGGATATGTGATAGATAGTAATCTTATTCTGCTCCATTATACATTTTATGAGAGCAAACATTGATTTCATTTAAGACAGAACAGTTTTGAATAAAAAAGTTATCACTGAATAATTATAAAAATTTTTAATAAAAAGGGATTATTAAATGATGACTAGAAATCAGATGTTATTTGGTTAAGTATATCAAAATTCACAATACAACTCAAAATACAGAATCAGTTTCTTTATATAAGCAGATATAGTTTTAAGTTTTAATTAATTTTATTTCCGAACTATTTTTAAGGATGTACTTAGCTGCTGACTACTTTTAGAACTATTTAAGGTAATAAGTGTCCACTGCAAATGAAAATTGTCACAATCCAAGGATAGAGCCCACCAGAATTAAGAATTCCTTCTACAGTGTCTTTTAACTGAAGAAATCACATTATGTGACAACTAATAATTTTTTGTCTACAGTAAAGAAAACAAATTTTCTTTAACTTTATTCATGTTTTAATAGCATCCTGTAACGTGGCAACCATCTAAAGAGGGAGACCGATTAATTGGACGTGTTATTCTTAACAAGAGAACAACTATGCCCAAAGAATCAGGTGCATTACTGGGTCTGAAAGTAAGTATGCTGGTTTAAAATGTTTCTTAAAGGGTGAATTACAGTATGGACTGGATTCAACAAAGCATCTGACAATGACTTTTAAATATTTCCTCTCTTCTCCAAATAAAGTCCTTCTAGTGAATGCCTTGTTAACATAGTGATGTTTTATGGTAAATTTAGTATTTTATCTAGGTTAATATTTTAAAAATACTTTGTTAATATGACAATATGTTAGAAAACTGCAATGGATTATAGGAAAACTAAAGAATATTTCTCTGAACATAAAGTTCAAGTACAATTTTTATAGCAAAAAGGTTTTAATGTGTGGTCCTAAGGTTAAATAATGCAGACTGCATAATTTTATTATACTTGACAAGCAACATAAAACACCATTAGTGATATTGTTTTGTAAGTGCAGTAGAATTTATGGTAATATCAAAAGAGTAAAATGTATCCTTTAAAATATTAATTGACTTTAACAGAGAAAATTAAAAATTAATAAATTACAAAAGATTATATTTTATTGTAGGAAAAATAGGTGCATACGTTTTGTTTTATTATGTTTGTGCATGTGTGTTAAATCTCGTGATTTTATTTCCTTTAGAAAACAGAGAAACATTCAAAGCTGTGGCTTTAAAATTATTTACCAAGAGATTGTTTTATAGTTGTGTGATAGTTTGATTTCTTCCAAGCCATTGACTATTACCAACAAAAAATTTTAAGTTAATGTATTTAATAGTATCACCTTTTTATTATTACCCTTAATTTCTCTTGTTATGAAGAAATTGTCATCACCTATCCTAATGGGCACATCCCTATGAATTATGGATCAATCTCAACCTTTGAGAATATCCTTCCAACTTCAAATTATACACAGGTAGTCCCTGCTTTGGAAGAAATTAAACTTAGAAACTTTCTGATATATTTATTTTTAGCTAAGTGGAAAAGCCAGGTGAGAGTGTTAAATATTCAGTAATAAAACTCTGGCTTTGAGAGTTAGATTGAATCACATACATATTTCAGGTGAGGAGCTCATTCACATGTTCAGTAACAGAGATAAATTTGGGCTGTTATTCTCTGAATGTGGTAAATTGCTTCCCCAAAGTTGCCTGTTGTTGGTTTGAATTCCTGGTCTTTATGTCTTAGACCTACATTCCACTAAACATACAAAAGAGTTCAAGATCAGAAATGCCAGTGGGGCATTATCTGCATTTAGAAATATAATTCACATGGTGGGCATGAGTTGAGAGGATAAAGAAAAACGAACCCTAATGTAAACAGTGTCAAACCCTTCCTGTGTTTGATGGTAAGTGAGAAAGAACTGGCACTTGTTTTGTAGGGTTATTCACTATTCTTGTCGCCTTTGTGTTGTTAGGTCAATATAAGTAATCAGTACATAAGCTTCCTTAGGATACATGGCCATCTTAAATATAATGAGATGATGTTTTCTTTTTAAAACTATGCTTCCAGCTTCTTTAATCAGAAATGTGTTTCACTTCATTAATGTCCCTACATTCAATTCTCAATACATATAAGAGACTGATGTGATTAATTCCTCAAACTAAAATCTTATGTTTTAGTCTTGGGCACTTATAAATTTATAATTATCCAGGTTGTTGGAGGAAAAATGACTGACTTAGGACGCCTTGGTGCCTTCATCACCAAAGTAAAGAAGGGTAGCCTTGCGGATGTAGTTGGACATTTAAGAGCAGGTAAAGTTTCCTTTCACATTTGAACAATATGTACTCTATGCATGAGTTCGTGGTTTTCAAATTTGGGTAAGTCATAGATAAGTCAGTGAAGTAAATAACTAATTTTAATGCATGAATAGATTTTTGCATTATTGTCACCTGATATTGTCACTAGCAGTTTGGACAAAGCAAGTATAGAAATGTTTTTTATTTATGTAAAAATAAATAGATGCAAAATACCAAAAGATTACTAATTTTCATAGATGGCTTCAAAATGTTGTTACAAACATATAAACAATCTAGCATTGTGAAAAAGTAATATCACTATTTATTTCTTTAGTTTGTATTTAAGCTATATTAAATACTAGTTTTTCAGATTGGTCCCAAAACACTTATTCACTATCAGTGTTTTTAATAAAATATAATCCCAATCACATTTCTTACATAAGTTATATAATAAAACACTTTTTAATTTAAATGTGACATATATTGTACTCATGAGCAACTAGTTTTATTTTGAAGGCAGAGTCCAGACAATTAAACTGTTTGTATATGTTTTGCATCTATTTATAAAAATGAGAAAAGATAAGAAAAATACACAGAATATATAAGGTGAAAAAATCACTTTTTTTTTTGAAGGCGATGAAGTTCTAGAATAGAATGGTAAACCCCTGCCAGGAGGTACAAATAAAGAAGAGAACATTTCTAGGCTATGTTTTTAGTTTTTAGACCTTACGATTGTAATTGTTGAAACCTTGAGAAAAATATTCTATAACTTTTGAAGACATTTTTTGTCAATTGATTACGAGGATAAAAGTTCAGCATCATTTAGATTTGTTATTCGATAGGAATGTGCTATGAATGTGTTATATAGAGAGAAAATTCAAATTGGGGTTATTTTATTTACTATACATACAGCTTTGAATATGTGCAGAGGCAGAGTACACTATTATTTCTTATCAGGGACTAGTTATCCTAATATATGAAAACCCAGGGTCCTTAAAGACTGACCGACTGAAGGCTCGACTGAACACTGGATGTCAGTCTGGCAGTCAGTGCTGGGTTGCTGTAGCGACCCAGCACTGACTGCCACTGGTGCAGGCACAGCAACCCAGCACTGTCTGTCAGGTGGACTCCGGATCATGCCTGGAGAGAGGCAGGGTCTTATCCGCAGCCTCCATGGCAGCTGTTGATCAGCCGTTGCCTCTCTCTTTCTCTCCGGACTTCACCAGCAGCTGTGCCTCTGTTTCTCTCCAGGCTTCTGTAGGGGCTGCTGATCAGGCCCAGCAATAGGCCCGGAGATACTGACTGGCATAGAAAAAGACCAATCAGAACCAAATCTGGGTGAACTGTGAGGAGCCAATGGGTGCCTAGGAGGCGGAGCTTTTGACTCTGACTGATATAGAAAGCGACCAATCAGAACCAAATCTGGGTGAAGTGTGAGGAGCCATTGGCTGCCTAGGAGGTGGAGCTTTTGATGCTGACTGGCATAGAAACCTACCAAAACCAAATCTGGGTGAACTGTGAGGAGCCAATGGCTGCCTAGGAGGCGGAGTTTTTGATGCTGACTGATATAGAAACCAACCAGTCAGAACCAAATCTGGATGGTTTAGGGGTGATCAGGCAGGCAGGCAGAGAGGTTAGGGGCAATCAGGCAGGCAGGCAGGTGAGCGGTTAGGAGCCAGCAGTCCCAGATTGCAAGAGGGATGTCCCACAGGGATCGGGCCTAAACTGGCAGTCGGACATCCCCCAAGGGGTCCCCAATTGGAGAAGGTGCAGGCTGGGCTGAAGGAACCCCTTCCCCCCCCTCCCCAATGCATGAATTCCATGCATCGAGTACTAGTCATTAAATAACAAACTCAATAAAGAGTGACTATATCAGCAAATTGAGTCTTTGCTTATTTTATGACTCAAAAATAAGCCTTAGAAAGCTCTGTGGCTTTGTGCTCTTCTAGCAATTCCATCCACTTCCATTACTTTTCACTCTACCCTCCAGCCATGGCAGTCCACCTATAGGTTATAGGTCCCTGGCAAGCTGTTTCTGTCTGTGAGAACTGGTCATCTAGTCTACCTGGTTTCTTTTCTGCTCTTGTGCTCTGCCTGTTGAAGTCCTTTCCATCCTTCAAAACTCATCTAAAGTTCCCTTAATTCTAAAGTGTTTCCTGAAATAGCACTCGGGACAGTAACTTATTACTACCTCCTTAGCAATACCTGGCTCTATTTCTGTTCCTCAGATGAACTGCTATCATTTCATGAAAGGTATTGATTTCTATAATTCTCTCCCTCCAAATTTAAGGACAGATAAAGTCTCTTGTTGCATCTTTGTACCATCATAATCTATGTCCCTGCCTGAACATATTATTCATAGATAAATAAATATGGCTAAAGAGACCACTTTCTGGTTGAGGATGTATTGATTTGTAAATAAATAAATGTGTGTACTAAGTTAATTTGATGTTAAAAGTTATGCTCCAGGTTGCTGTCTATAAAGAGGAGAATTTTATAATCCAGTCTTTTGAAAAATGTTGATTGCAGTGCATTACTGGATAGTAAAATTGACTTAATGGTTTGCATCCATTGTTTTTAAAAAGTGAAATAGAACATAATAGAATAGAAAATAACAGGGTAAGTATGGTTCCAGAAAATATTTTTTCATACAAATACACACACATATACATATATACATTCACATGAGGTAAACTTATTTTATTGGCCAAAGAAATTAGAGGACTCCTGATATATATTTAAATTTGTAATTATTTTATTTTTTATTTGAAGTATATTTATTGCCTACTTGATAAACATGGTTAGGGAACTTCTTAGGTCAAACTATTAGAAGTCATTTAACTATTGGTAATAACTGCACTCTTTTACCAAACCAAAGCAGCATCATGTGCTTTTCAAATATTTAGTTTTTACTTTTTGGGTGAAAAAATATTGCTTATAATAGTTATATCAAAACAAAGTTTTCTATTTAAAGACATGCGAGTTAAAAACTAAAGGATTTCATGTTTATGTTTATGATGATATTGATTCATTAGTTCAAAAAATATTTGCTTAGCTACTAAATGTTATAGACACTGAAAACAATAAAATAAAGGAACAAAAACATTAAGATGCCTCAAAGTACCATTGAAGCTGAATATTTTAGCTGAGCCTTCCATAGTGTATTGAAAGTTACTGGACAGAGAACCCTTAGGGATCTAAAACTTCACTAACTATTTATGAAAATAAATAATATTTCCCAAATTATGGTGAAAATTCTGGTTAAAAATAACAAGTTGTTAGCCCATGTATTGTAACATGGAATCACGTACTTTCTTTGATTAATCTTATAATATTTAACAAACTAATGAATACTCAAATTTTTATTTTCTTAAAAATATTTTCTAACTTTAATGCTCACAATATATATTATGTATAGAATGTGTGTGTTATGAACATCTGGAAGTGGGTTAACTGTCATGCGAGTTTTTACATCTGCTTGCTTTGTAACTTTGCCATAGCTACCTGCGTTGCCCTGTAGGTATAAATTCAAGTCCTTTCATGCATTTTTATTCTGTTGTGCATCTGGTGAAGACAAAGACTCATGACTTATAATTGGAAAAATCATGCTAACAAACGTTAATTGCAACTTCTACCAAAAATAGAGCAGGATGAATGTAGAGTTTAACAGCAATTTTTTACACTTAGAGAAGGCTACATTTATTATATGGAGGGCATGCTGCTAATTATTATTTTTTAATGTTTCCAAATAAGCTATGCTAATTCCATTCCATAGCATGAGATTATTTTTATGTTATTTCTGGTATATTTCAAAAGATGAAGGTAGTTTGTATTATACTGTTTCTAGTGACCAGTAGGATTCATCTGGGGAGAGAAAAAGAAAAAAGAAAGAAAAGGAAAGAAAAAAAGTGTTTAGAAGAACAATTTAGCTGACATTATATGGAAATCAATTTCTTGAGAGCAGAACCTAGACAGTTAAACTATTTGTATATGTCTTGCATTTCTTTGTTTTAAAAAAAGAGAAAAGATAAGAAAAATACACAGAATATGTAAGGTAAAAAAATACCCTTTTTTTTAAATTCAAGGGGATGAAGTTCTAGAATGGAATGGTAAACCCTTGCCGGGAGCTACAAATGAAGAAGTTTACAACATTATTTTAGAATCAAAATCAGAACCTCAAGTTGAAATTATTGTTTCAAGGCCTATTGGGTAAGGCTAAAAAAACTTACTTCTTAAGTTTAGTAAATTACATGTATAGTAGGGTTTTAAAAAGAAGTTTATACATTCAAACAATACATGCTAACATGGATACTTTTTCTTCAATGATGGGCATACAGTTTAGATTTAAATTTCTTAATTTTTTAAATCTGAATACTGAATTTTCCTCACTACATTTTAGAAGCTTCACAATTTAACAATTGTAATATCAAAAAGTATAGATATGCTTTTCTAGACATAAAATATAAAGTACAATATTTTTAATGGTAGATCTGTTTATTTTTAGTAATTCTCATTTAATGAATAATATTTCCTTAAAGAGAGTCACTAACAAACTTATCTTCTTGTAATATTTAAAATAGAAATGATTTCATATGTCTCCATGAACTTTTTATTCTACTAAGAATAGAATATTTTTTATATTTTTAAAAAATTAAGCAAGTGTGAAATATTTTAACATTTTAATTGGTCATAATAATTAATACAATATTTTTAAAACTTCAGTTTTCAGCATAATTTAATTATCTGCTGGCAGTAAGATAATTTCTATATCTTTGTGTAGAATTCCTCATAGAGTGAGGTTTTCCTGGCAACCCATAAAGTCTAGAACATTCATTTTGCCAGTTGACATTATTTTGGAAGGCATGTTTAATTGTCTTATTATAATTGGTTTAATATATGAATATACTTTTTGAAACAATTTTCTTTTTTTCCTATTCCCTAAAATATTATAAAGTCATTAATTAAAGATATTTTATGTTGAATAAGTGCTAATCTTAAATTTTTGTTGTCCTCATGAATATGTCACTGTAAAACATACAAGGAAATATGATTATTCTAATTCTCAAAAGACTGAAAATGTATGATAATATATTCCAAAGAATAATATTAATATATATATATATATGTATATATAAAACTCTAAAATAAAGACAAGCTTATGGCCCATTTTAAGTGGTGATTATTAAGAATGAACACTTACAAAAGTATTTTACATTTCAATGCAGATTATTTTAAAAAATAACTCACTATAATTTATGCTAGTTTTCATAACACCTGTTCTAGTGCTTAGGTAAATATGAGGCTGGAAAAGAGGTAAGTAATTGGAAAATGAATCAAAATATTAAAAAAATTTAAAATCAAGCATGTGCACTTTGCCAAATACTTTCAGATATATGGTGGTTTCAAATTAGCTAAAATATTTTTGATTCTTAGCGACTTTAATAAACAAAGACTATTAAAGTAGACTGGAATAACATTTTCATTATTTTATACTTTTGTATGAAAATAATTTCAAAGGTAATAATCTACATAGCCAAAGCCTAACTGCCACATATATAAAGAATATGGGATATAAAAATATTTATATAAAAATTAAATCTAGTATTTTCCAGTTGATGGAAATATTATTAGACTCCTGAAAAAATATTTCTAGTTATTTAATAACTATGTTTAATGTAGTTTTATAAGTAATTTAAAACTGAAAGCAAATATTTATTCATAGTTTTTTGGCATAATCATTTCAATAATTATCCCAAGTTTAATTTACATGCACATTAGTCAACATGGTCTAGCTACAATGGAAAGCAGTATGGAGGTTCCTCAAAAAAATTAAAAATAGAGTTGCCATATGACCCAGCAATTCCACTTCTACGTATTATCCAAAGAAATCCAAAACACTAATTTGAAAAGATATACGCACCTCTATGTTAACTGCAAAATTATTTACAATACCCAAGATATGGAAGCAACCCAGGTGTCCTTCAATAGATGAATAAAGAAGATGTAGTACAGATATACAATGGAATTTTATTCAGCCGTAAAAGAGAATGAAATCTTATAATTTGTGTCAACATGGATGGACCTATAGGGTACTATGCTGAGTGAAATAAGTCAGACAGAAAAAGGCAAATACCATATGATTTCACTTATATGTAAAATCTAAAGAACAAAACAAATGACTAAACAAAATAGAAATAAACTAATAAAGAAAACCAAATGATGGTCAGGTCACTATGTGGGAGAGAGATTGGGGGGAATGGGTGAATAAGGTGAAAGGGATTAAGAAAAATAAATTTTATATATACACACATATATATATATACATATATACACACACACACACACACGCATACACACACTCATCACAGGGATGTAACATAGGGAATATAGTCAATAATATATTAGAGTGATCACTTCCTAAGGTATATAAATGTCTAATCTCTACGTTGTATATCTGAAAACAATATAATATTGTATGTCAAGTATAAATGAAAATGAATTTTTAAAAGAGAGATGTAAAATACTAATTTAAAAAGAAAACAAAAACCCATGGTCTAAGAGACATCAGTCATTTTCACATAAATTGACCATTTTTGCCAACCTACCAAGTACAATATGCTTAACCTTTATGCTTAATTGTTATTATAACTGTTCTGCTACATCACTTGTGTGTAGAATTGTGTAAATGTCAATTGGAAATTTATGCCTTGAAAATATTACTGAAGGAGTCAAATTTAATAAATTTTGATTCAAAATCACTTAAAAAGTTTTACAACTTTTTCACAATTCTTCTTTCACAAACACATAAAATCCAAAGCTTACTCCTGGTTTCAGAGTTCCATGTTCTAACTTTCACAATAGCCTTTGAGGTTGAGTTTCAAAGAAGTTATAATATATAAAAAAAATTTTCTGGATTTTTAAAAATTTACTTTTATTCAATTAAATTTAGAAGAAAGTTGTGGAGGATAAATAGTTGGTTTCTTGCATCTTAGGTATTGCAATTTAGTCTCCTAATTATCATATAAAATATTTATTTTATAAAAATTCTTTATTATACAAATATACATATAATAACATTTATTTATAAAATACATAATACAGGTTATAGTGCCAATTGCAAAGTGTATAAATTGTAGGTGGTTATGAGAATTAATTTGCACAAAAAATGTGAAAATGAGAGGCAGGAAAACAATCAAAAGGAGAAAATTGTTTTTGTTTCTATTCCTCCCTCCTACCCTGAAAGTGCAAAGAAAATCAAATTGAAATTAAATAACAAGGTAAGTGGTTAGAAATTCTTAAATAGTATTTTAATGATTCTCTTAATACTAGCTTATTCCAGTCTGCTTTAATATGCCATGTTAATACTTGCATACTGTTAATCTGGTCCTTATATTATACTAAAATATCTTTGGAATACCAGAGGTAAAGTAGTTCCATATAGCACAATTTCCAAACCAAGCTGGTCCAAGGTTCCTAAGGTCACAGTGGATGATGGATTAAGTTGAGGTTATATTAAATTCAGAATTATTTGTGAGTGTGACAAGAATGGGTGTTCTCACAAGTCACTTTCTAATCATATCTAAATAACCATCTATTTAGCTAACTTCAGTATAAAGATATGAATCTCAATATAGGGTTATATATGTGTATATTAATTATATATTCACATATATAAAGTATTTTGGCTTTTTTGTTGCAAGCTTGTATCATTTTTAATTTTCAATGCAATTCATCCTTTTCATTTTATTAACTTTGCCCATGATATTCACCATATTATTTTAGTATCAAGAGATGTTTGCATCCCTTTCATTCAGTAAACTCTTTCAGATGTGTTTGTAAAGCATATTACTGATTTGTAAAATATGTGCCGTTTTAATTTTCTAGAATTGAAATAAACTATTACCTTTGACATTTTTTTTATTTCCAAAACCTGCTGTTTTGGTAGTAAAAATATTGTGGTAATTTTAGCCACAATATTAGTCTTATCGTTGTCATGTTAAAAGTATTTTGCTATTAAATATAAAAAAATTATTTTTACTGCAGTTTTTATTTTTATGTGGTGTTTGACATTCATGCACATTAGTAATTGCCTTAATAGTGACTCCTGTCCATTTCCACCTATAAAGACCCAAAAGGATTCTTCACCCCTGAAGTAAATGTGACAGTGATTGCCTCAGCCAGGTACACAGCTAATGGGATTTTCACCCTACACTGTTTCTTTTAGTGACATTCCAAGGATTCCTGAGAGCTCCCACCCTCCCTTGGAATCCAGTGAGTATCAGGAAGATCTCCTTGTTATTATGATATGTGTTGAATGAAATTGAAGAATAAAGATTTATTGTTTTCTTTAGCTATTTGATGTAAAAGACTTGGTATTGTTATATTAAAGTTATCTCCAATGATATCAGAAGTTGGCAACCATAATAATCATTGGAAACCCAAAGGTATTCTAAGATTTTCTCTTTTTCTAATGTGTGTGTGTGTGTGTACAAAAATCTTCATTGGCAATAGCCTTCTGAATAATAAAAGTTAGGATCCCTCATAGAGCTCAGTTATTACACCTGTGATAGTTCTATTTACTGTATCAAATGCAGACCATCATGTTATGCATACCTGCTAGAGATGAGACCAGATTTGGTTTTGAGCTCTCTGATAACCAGTATACAAATGGAAATGGAACCCACTGCATAATTTATAGAGTTGATACTCCTTAAGGACTAGCTGTTATAATAATAAAAACAAACTGATTATTAGAAGTACCGATTTTCTTGTACTGAGACCCCCCAAAAATATTATCTTAAGGAAACTTGATTAAAGAGACATAGTAACAAAGAATATTACAGCACTGTTTCTTATAGTTAAATGTCTTTGGCAGGCACAGAATTATGCTTTGTGGCTTAAATTTGACTTTATTTATAGGATAGAAAAAAAATGGTGTGGATAGCAAATTATCAGGCAATGGTCCATGAATAGTGTTTCATCAATAAAGCTAAGCTCTGAATGGCTGTGGGTTCAAGGTTATACTTAGTGGAGTAACAGCATTATATAGACATTCTATACTGCTGGTTGTGTCAGGGTACACTTAAACAGTGAGTTGGGTCTAGAGCAGTGAGGGTGAACCTTTTGAGCTCGGCGTGTCAGCATTTTGAAAAACCCTAACTTAACTCTGGTGCCGCCGTATCACATATAGAAATTTTTTTGATATTTGCAACCATAGTAAAACAAAGATTTATATTTTTGATATTTAGTTTATATATTTAAATGCCATTTAACAAAGAAAAATCAACCAAAAAAATGAGTTCTATAGGTTCGCCATCACTGGACTAGACAGTTTTCATTTGAAAAAGGGGGGGAAAGGGCCTCATGGAATGGCTGAGTGGAAAGCCAGCCTCCTCCACAAGAAGGGGAAGCAAGTCACTTGTGGTGTATCATAGAGACAGCATTCTCAGACTTTCAAGAGATTCATTTGTAAGAGCTAAACTGAGATAGATGATAAATCTTATTTTAAAACAGTGATGAATTCCAGGCTTAGATGTACTCATAAATTATATATGCATTCATTTAAATTTGATTAAGGATAGTTCAAAACAGATGAGCCTTTAGCCAAGATAATTGACATAATGGGTACCGTCTTTCTCATTAAAAGTGTGAAGCCTTTGGCCTATATGTGAGATAATGGAAGAGCCTAAACTGTACCCTCCAAAAAATGTAGAAAATCAATACTTACAAATTGAAGCAAATAAATAAAATACTTGATTATATCCATTTTATTACCTGTAAAATAGGTGGTTAATCAAAGAAGATGGTGTAAGTTTCTACAACTATCTAATTGAAAGTAAGCTCTGCTGTTCTTATTGTTATTTAATTCTGGTTTTATACCAATAACATGAATTTAACATTTTATAAAACTACTAGGGGCCCAGTGCACAAATTCATGCACCTGGAAAAAGAACTGTGGGCTGTGAGGCTGCTGTGGTCACAGGGGCGGGTCTCAGCCCATCCTCCGCACCCCCACCCGGCCCCTTCCACTGTGGCCCCAGGTTCCCTGTCTGCCGGCAGTCCCACTCCTGCTACTGCCCTCCCACACACCGATGGCGCTGGCCCTGCTTGCACCCTCTGACAACTCGGAACAATTAGGGCTGGTACCAGCAGCGGGTACAAGTGGGGATGGCGCTGTCAGTGGGTGAGAGCAGCAGCTGCTGCCCCAATCGCCCCTCAGGAGCAGCGGGAGGTGGAGAAACCCTCAGGGGCGATTGGGGCCAGGAGTCGCTGCTCTCACCCGCTGATGGCACTGAGAGATCAGGACCAGTGCCGGGCACCAGCAGTGGGTACGAGCGTTGGCTCCGGTGCTGGCTGTGGGTGCGAGCGGCAGCTCTGGCGCCGGCAGTGGGTACAAGCAGGTGCGAGAGGTGGCTTCTTGCCCTGATTGCCCCTCAGGACTGGGGGGAGGTGGTGACCTTGAGGTATGATCAGGGTCAGCAGCCACCACTGGCAGCTGCTGCCGGCAGTGGGTGGGAGCACTGGGTGGGACTGCAGTACGGGGAAGCAAAGAATTTTCAGTAACCACCAGAGGCTTGCCGTGATGACAGCGACTGGTGCCCCACCTTGGTCTGGCGCGCCCTGCTCACCTGCTCCACCATCCTGCCATGGCTGACTCCTGCCATGTTCTATGCGCGCCCCCTAGTGGTCAGCGCACGTTATAGAGACCGGTTATTTGGTTCTTCAGTTGTTCTGCCATTCGGTCTATTTGCATATTAGGGTTTTAGATAGATTTATCCCCACACATAGGGTACAAATATATTACTGAAAATTACTTAGTTGTTTTTTTTTCTCATTTTAGGTTCAAGTTCTTTTGAATCTCAGAAGATGGAAAGGCCTTCCATTTCTGTTATTTCTCCAACAAGTCCTGGAGCGCTAAAAGATGCCCCGCAAGTCTTACCAGGACAACTTTCTGTATGTATTTTTTATACATGGTGAAGACTGTTAATATTTGCTCACTGTTCTGAGTCTATCTTAAAAAGTGTATGGCTTTTTTTAAAGCTCATGGTATATTCATAGTCACTTAACACCGTAGTCAACATCAATGCATTTTTCATGCATTTTTTAGATCATGCCTTTGTTTATGTATTCATTTGGGAATATTTAGTGAGTGCTTATAATGTGCCAGATGTTCTGAACATTAAATGATAAATAACCTAAGTAAATATAATATCCATTATAGTTTGTCTGGTATGCAAAAGTTTCTGAAGTAAGTAGCTGGTTAGACATAATAAACTCAGCAAATTATGTGTCATTTACTTAAAACCTTATGAGCCTGGAGACGGAAATATTTACATTTAAAAGTATTATTTTTAACTTCTTAAGACATTTGGTGAAACTCATTTTACTGATATCACCCTGAAAAAGCTATAATTTTCCTCACTGTTGCCTTATCAATGACCCAGGAAAAGCTGGATAAAGAAACTATGGCTAACTTACGAAAACTTACATCTTTGTAGATTACGGTAGAATACTGGACACTTGTATAAACACCTAAAATAAAATGTTGCTTTAAGTTATTCTGTAAATGTTAGTTGATCTTTTTCTTTGTTATAAAACATGGCTTTCTGTAATCTGGTTTTGCTGCTCTCCTCTTCGTTTTCATTAAAGAAGATAACTGTGAGCTTCCTGTTATTTAAAACCCTTTCTTCGTCTTAACTTGATATATTGACTAATCTTTGTTGAGTCTTTTATGTTTGTTTTAATTTCCCTGTCCCCCTTCTATTTTCACTGTATGTGTAAATCTCTTATATACTCCACCTGTATTTTGAGAGGAATAAAAATTCATTTTGGTTTTATGAAAAACACATCTCTGTGATTAACTGGGAGCAGAGACATGAATTCATACGGATCTGTGTTTGTATCATTAATCTGCCCCTTACTGTGAAAAAACAATCCCATGGTAAATTAGCTTATCTGCTTGTAATGACTCTTAAATATGTTCGAGTATATACCCATTAAACGCTTACATTTTTATTTGACCATAAAAGTAAAACTGACATAAAAATTTTTAAAACAAAATTAAAGTTAACATTGTCTGCTGCCAGACAAATACTGTCTTGGCTGCCAAAATCCTGGTTTTTAGGAGTCTAACAATAGCTCAGTGTGTCATTTTCCTATTTTTTCTTTATTCAAACTATCATGAAATCTTAGGAGAAATATCATTATTGGGCCCTCACTTATTCTGAAGTCATCATTTATGTATTGCATGTCCCTTTGTTCTTTTCCCCTTCTCTCAAGAAAATTAACCTATAATAGTTTAATTATAAAAATTAAATGAGGCAAAACAGAAAACAGCAGTAACTGGTGTAAAATAGACCTACAGTAAATGTGTTTCCTGATCTCCCAACTCTCTTGTACATATTGTTCCAAATATGAAATCTCATTTTAATTCATCTACATATGGTACTATAAAACACATTTAGGCACACTATAATTATTAAGCACTTATAACCACCAGCCATTTTCATTTGTCATTTAAAAACAAGAATAGCCCTGGACAGGTAGCTAGGTTGGTTGGAGCATCTTTCCATACAATCAAAAAGTTGTGGTTTTGATTCCTGATCAGGGCGCATACCTCGGTCGGGGGTTCCATCCCCAGTCAAGCACGTATGGGAGACAACTGATCAATATTTCTCTCTCACATCCATGTTTCTCTCTCTTCCTTCCACTCTCTCTAAAATATCAATAAAATTAAGAAAAACATAACCTCCGGTGAGGATTAAAAACCCCCCACAAGGATAATAATTTTAAAGTCCGCTACTTCCCTTTATTTTTTATAAAATGTTTATCATTCGTTTATTTTCATAGCATGATACGATATAAGAGAATATAACACTGCAGGTCTACCAGTTGTAAGTCATGTTTAAAATGCATGAAGAGAAAAGTCAAGTTCTAAGTGGTTATGCCTTCAAATTGGTATTCTTTTCCAAAAATAAGATATACAATTCAATTAAAAATGTTTCTTAAAAAATAACTTCAGTATTCTTTTGTAAAATTATAGCTCATTGTTTTTACAAATAATTTCTTCTTTCATTGCTCTTAGGTAAAATTGTGGTATGATAAAGTGGGACACCAGCTGATTGTAAATGTTCTGCAAGCAACAGATCTACCTTCCAGGGTAGATGGGCGGCCCAGGAATCCCTATGTAAAAATGTATTTTCTTCCAGATAGAAGGTAGTGAATAATTTTAGAAAAAAATATGCAAAAATCTTTACTAACAGAAAGGCAGAATTTCCTTTCTTGGATATAGTTTTACTTATTTTGTAAAGCTTTATTGAGATAAAGTTGTTATGCTAAAAATTGCACATATTTAATGTGGACATTTGATGAGTGTGGACATTTGCATACACCTGTGATATAGTTTTAAAATTTAATAGATATTTATCTGAGGGAATGAAGTACATTATCTCTTAAAAGCAAAGCCCTCAAACCTGGTATTTTTTTAAAATAATCTTCCAAGTTTAAATTTTCTATTACCTTAATTATGTACATATTAGTCTTTGATAGCTACACATCATTTAAAATATACCTCTGTATGTGTTAACTATAATCATAACTACTGCTTACATTGTAGTTAAAACGAAAATAGCATTAATCTCTACAGTATTTTTAGATTTCTTTATATTAAAAGAAATGAATTAAGCCCCAATAGCAATATCACATGTAACTACAGTAGGTGGCAGCATATACTTGTTTTTGCTCTTTCATTTACAAAACATATTTATTTTTCAGTGATAAAAGTAAGAGGAGGACCAAAACCGTAAAGAAAGTACTAGAACCAAAATGGAATCAAACTTTTGTCTATTCACATGTACATCGTAGAGATTTTAGAGAACGAATGTTAGAAATAACTGTGTGGGATCAACCAAGAGTGCAAGAAGAAGAGAGCGAATTTCTTGGAGAGGTGATGTATACTGTAAAGATTCAAGTCAAATGCTTATTCAAGTTTTTGTGATATGCATTGCTTATGATTACCTCTTAGATTATGTTTGGTAAATGTGCTTGCTTAATTTGAGAATGCCCTTGCAGATCCTCATAGAATTGGAGACAGCACTTTTAGACGATGAACCACATTGGTATAAACTGCAGACACATGATGAATCTTCACTACCTCTGCCTCAGCCATCACCTTTCATGCCAAGGCGACACATTCATGGAGAAAGCTCCAGCAAAAAACTACAAAGTAGGTTAAAGTTCTTTTTAGTTACCAGAATTAATTATGTTGTAATGAGATTAAATTTCAAGATATTTTCTCAAATGCCTGTTAGAGATCAGAGTATTGGAAAAGTATTCATTTATGTAAAGAGACCTGGCAAAACTATTTTCTACATTTTCCCACTGAATACGATATATACATAACAGAGTAATTCCAGAGCTGAAAGTTGAACACTCTGAATTGTAATTCTTTGCCCATTACTGATTCAGTTGTTGATTGGTTAGGTGATAGAGTGATTTTTGTTACTATTAATGGATTGCTATATATTAGTGGCAACCTCTTAATAAGTTTAAAGTTCCTAGGTATTTTTAGTATTACTATTCCTAAAAAATTAAAATAAACATATAAACTTCGTTGTTTTGCAACCAGTGATTGGGAAAAACTATTTTTTCTGGGCATCTCCATTAAATTTGAATTATGACTAAATCTCTCATTCAATAATTGAAACATAGATGCTTCTCTTTGGTAATGTAGAACCAAATTGTTTGCCTCATATAATTAAATATTTCATGCTAGTGCTTCCGTGATCAAGCATTTCCTCAATATTAATGTTTAATGCAGTGTAATGGCTAGTTCTGAAGGCTAGCCATGCATATTTTATAATGGGCCCTGATGTCCTTGCAATAATATGAGCTCAATGGAGCTCCATCCATGAAAGGTCTCTTTGAACCTTTCCACTCAGCCTCATCCTCCTCGAACTGCAGAGGAGGACACCTCACTGGATAGAAAACAGTGTATGCGCTTTGCAGTAGGCTTTTAGCCTAATGCCTGAACTAAAGAATACATTGAAAAGTCAAAATCTTATTCTATGAAGTCCCCTCCCTTCATTGATTTTATGGAGGAAATACCTAGAAAATGTTATCCTTGGAGAACAAACTACTTTAAAAATCTCCTCATCGTTTACTTCTGAAAGTATTTAGTAGTAATATAATTAGCTGGCATTTTAAAGGACTGTGACCATGTCATTTACATTTCATAAACCAACAAGACACAGAGGTATCTGTTTGCCTTACTGTTGTGCAGGATCTCAGCGAATCAGTGATAGTGACATCTCAGATTATGAGGTGGATGATGGTATTGGAGTAGTGCCTCCAGGTGCGTGGGTGACGAGCATGACCCTGTTTCACTGTGTGACTGTGCTTGTTTTCACTGTCAATCTCCGGATGTCTCTGGGATACTGAACTGGAGATATAGCACAGATAAATCAGTGTTATATTATTCCATGGTGACTTGTGTTCCAAATTACTACGAACATTTAAAATTGACTAGCCACTATTCATTAAGGTCCCCTCTTTTTTTAACTTAGGTTCTTTTCTTGCAAGCATGGCTAGCTAGGCTTAAATCATTATTTCACAATGCCGTGAGCATAACTGAAAAAAATTTCATTGTGAAAGGATATGGTTAATTTTCTTTTTAAAAATCCATTTTCTTATGTTTTATCTTCTATATCTATGATTTCCCTTCTTCAGTTTTGAAAATAATGTAGCCGTCCATGGAATATATTGAGAAAGGTGCATGGCAGAATTTAAAGCTGCATGTGGCATGGCTTAACTTCTAATGCTTTTGTGATGTGTTTACCTCTAATTGTAACTAGAATGTGAATTTATGTTTTAAAATAAGGAAATGCTTTAGAAAGATTCCTTTTAAGTCAATTTTTTGTTGTATACATCAGAAAAACTTTTTATGGCATTGTGGAATTCAAATCTGTTTTTCATCTGACTATTGTCAGAAAGTGAGTAAAATCAAGTAACAAAGGATTATTTTCTTAGCACTAGTCCTGTACTATTTCCTTGATTCACTCATTAAAAGTAAGAAAATATAAAAATAAGAAGATATTAAAGAAACAATCTTGGGACATATAAATAAGAATTATTAAAGGCTTTTCTTTTGGGCAATGTTGACATATAACCCCTTAATTTATGTAATTTCTCAAATACAGATGCACTTAATTTGAGGGTGATGGTTTTGGCAAAGTTAACAGATTTCACACTAGTGACTAAATTCACAATTTGGAGAGATACATACAACTTCATTAAAACTAAGAGAAAATTATAGAGTTCTCTAAAATTAGGTCTCGGTTGCTTTCATAATTCAGAGAAAATACAGTATTTAATCACTCTATTAAAGAAAAATATCGCTAAAAACCATAAAGCTGGTGGTGTACACATCTACATGCCTCGTTATCACTCTTGATTATCAGACCATCAATGATAATTTAAAATAATATTGGATAAAAGTTGGCAACATTTAATATTTTATGCACCGGTGGGGTCCCTTGGCCTGGCCTGCGGAGATTGGGCCGAAACCAGCAGTCTGACATCCCCTGAGGGGTCCCGGATTGTGAGAGGGTGCAGGCCAGGCCAAGGGGCCCCACTGGTGCACACATCTGTGCACCGGGACTCTAGTATAAATATAATTTACTTCTGTGGATGATTTTCACATTTATTCAGCTAAAAATTTTGTATATTTTATGCTGAGGCAGGATAGTGAATGACTTAATAGATGGCCAATTTAATAAATGTTAAAGGGGGAGTTCCTTCTTCTTTCCCTGAAAGATTCCATAGACAACAGCCAAAATGGGCGTTAGGGGACCCACTAAAGTGCTTGGGTACCACGAAAGAACACTGAATTCTAAATATACTTATATTCCATAATGAAAAATGCCATGTCATGATGTTCTGTAACTTCTATATTATCATTTCAAATATTCATTTTTATTTAACATTTAAAATTCAATGAGGGAAACTTTTCATGGAATATAACTAATAAATTACATAAACAATAATTAATATTTTATGGTCCAGAGGTCTCTTTATAAATTAATAAAGGAGTAATGAAATTTATTAATATTTGCAGGTATACTCTTTATTACTCCAAAATAAGTATGTGGTACCTCCTAAAGACTATGTGTGGCAAATAGAATATAGCAACCCACTCAGTGCTATACTAGTACATACATGTTAAAGAAGAAAGATGAGCATATGTAAAATAAGGGCAAGAAGCTAAAATACAGTCAAATGATAAGTTAATGAAAAGTGTGTTGACACATTCTCATATAGAGGTTGATTACAAACTCATTTCCTAGCATCCAACATAAAGATAAATCTATTTAGATATAGATACCAATTCTACATGTTTTTTCCTCATATATCTTTAAAAATGCACTCACAAAATCTATCACAGCCACCCCTTAAACTTTCTACTGCCTTGGCTTTTCTTAGAACCAGAGTTCAGTGCTCTGTTTGGTGCTTTGATACCTTTCTCCACTGAGGGAATCTAAGGTTCTAAAAGAATTGAGGCCTACAGAACTACATCTTATTGACTGTATAGTTATCATAATGTTATTTTTATTTAAAATAAGTAATTTTAACAGCATAAGGAAAGTACAAATAACCATATACATAGTGCCCTAATCTGAGGCAAGATATCCTGCAACCTCAACTTTTCAGAGCATTAGGCAAATTCAGAAAATGGTGAAAACCTCTAACTTCTCATTTTCAGCCAACTGAAACATTGAACTATGCATAAAATAGCAATTCTCTTCCACCTTTTTCTGAAGGTAGAGTATATGTTGTCAATCACAAATTAAACATAATAAGAAAATCAAATTGTTTTGTAAAAAGCAGACAAGAACTACGTATGCATATTAGAATAGGATAAAAAAAAGACATTCATTTCTATATAAAGACAAAGAACCCAAGACAAAAATTAATTCTACCCTTTTAACAATAGCAAGACATCCACATTCTCTGAGTTATTCATAATAATTATACCAAATTGGAAAGTTCTACTTATATGCCTTGAATATTCATTGAACTTTCGAAATGGTGCTCTCAATTCAATATTGAGCCTCCATAATTGTTGTGTAATTGATACCAAGTATTATTAAAAGATACCGAAAGTTAATTTAAAATGTTTAGCCAATTATAACTTTGGATTAAATAACTTTAAAAACAGCCATCATTTCTTATAATATGCTGTAAAATAATTTCATCAACTGAAAATTGGTCTCCTTTCTAATTACAGTTTATATGTTTGAACAACAATAAAGAAACTTTTATGCATGAAACTCAAAATAATAGCTTAATTGCTGTTATTTTTATTATAAAATGAAAATATGAAATTATAACGTTTATAGTTATATTATTCGGTTGTTATACTGATATGTTTAGAGTGACAAAAATGGTTGAGCTTCTTTGGTCTCACTACTGACAAATTACACTTTATAAAATGTTAAAGAACTAACTTCTCAGTTAAGCTCAGTAAAAATATCATATAATCACAAAAACATAAACTGTTAAAGAATTTCAGTCTTCCTTTAATAATGATGTTCCATGGTGTATGGGAGTTATTAATAACTAACTGACCAACAGTTTAGGCTGCCCAATTAAATGTAGTGTTTTCATGGGTCATGGACATTTTATGTAGTTGTAAATATAATTATTTTTCTTTGGCCAGAGAATTTAATATTTCACTTTTAATAAGAAGAAACAGTGACCCTGTTAAAAAATGTAACTAAACTGCTACTATAGATTTGAGATACTTTTTATCTTAAAATTAGAGATAATATAAACAGAGAATGACTTTTAAAATTTATTTTTAATTGAAATTATATTAACGGTATTAATTATGTTACTACTAACACATTTGTGGGATAATTTTAAAAGTCTGGGGTAGATTTGATGATTGCTTCTTTTGGAGAATTAATTCTCTCTGTGTTATTGTCATAGTCATCTCCACCAATACATTGTTTTCATTTGAAATTTGCAATATTATCTGTGGTTTGCAAAATTCATAATCAGTATTTGTAATAGTGAAGATCTACTACTCTTTGTTAATTAAAATTGGAATGAAATTATTTCCATTTACTTATTAGTGAAGTCATCTGAAACTCAATTAAAATAATTTGGAAGAAAAATTTAAATAATATTTAAAGAGACACCAAATTTCTAAGCATTGACTTGTATATTAACTCTAGTTTACTCTCAAGTACTTGATTTGTGTTGCAATAACATTACTCATTCATTCTTTACGTTAAAATAGTATACCAACTCATTATAATGTCTGAGGCATCAACTGTCATATTTATTTATATTCAGTAGCTTCATGGTACTTTTGAGCCAAACTGTAACCTGTTCTTATGCATGTATCTGTTACACTCTTTGTACATACACTTAATAGTTTTGAAGATATGGGTAATAGTACTGATTGCATGTCATTTATTTTAACATGTCAGTGGCTCTCTTAGATATAATTTGCTATCTCCACATTAACATTTACATTATAAAATACTGACTCATTTTTTGTGTGTACTCTTGCCAGTAGGTTATAGGTCTAGTGCTAGAGAAAGTAAATCTACAACATTAACTGTGCCAGAACAGCAAAGAACAACTCATCACCGCTCACGCTCAGTATCTCCTCATCGCGGCGATGATCAGGGAAGGCCGCGTTCACGTTTACCAAATGTGCCATTACAGAGGTAGGCTTGGAGACGGGCTCCGTGTTCCCGACAGTACGTTTTTATTATAACACTATAAACTACCACAGGCATCTGTCTGAAATGAAATCATTGTTTGGGCAATCAAGTTATTTTTTTTCCAGAGTCCGTTGTAGGCAAAATGCCTTTTTATTCATGGCCCAAAGTTCTATTCTTTCATCTCAACATTCTGTTCTGTGCAACAACATTCTGCTCATTAATCTCAAGAAATTTCTCAAGGAGTGGAAGAAGTTTATGTCCCAAACACTGTTCTTGAATAATTATCTTGTATTCTGCTTGCCAGTTGTCTCTTCTGTTATGAGAAATCATGTGGTAATGAATGAGACCTGTGGAGAAAAGTGGCAAAGATAATGAGATTAAGAGGAGGGATATATTTTTTTAGAAATTTAGGATTGTCTTTTTGAAGTACATTAAATACTTGGAAAAGTGTATAAGTTATAAGTAATATATTGCTTTATTTCCTCTGACCCTGATTGAAATTTTAATCAACTAAGCAGATAAAATTATGGACCTTTTTGATAGAATTGCAAAAGAAGGTTGGAAAAACAGAGCATTCAAGAGAAGAAGTGTCTTTATAAGTCACTGATGAAATAGTTATTTGGTTATGATCCCAGTGCTTTTCTAGCTATGTCAGTTGTTTGCCAATTATTGTCAATTCTTCCCTGTTATTCTGCCTGCCTGATTTGGGAAGATTATCCACTTTGATGCATATGGATTTTTTGTAATCATTTTAGGAGTTTAGATGAAATTCATCCAACAAGAAGGTCACGTTCTCCAACCAGACACCATGATGCCTCTAGAAGTACAGTTGATCACAGATCCAGAGATGTGGATAGTCAGTATTTATCTGAACAAGACAGGTATTTGTTTAAGTTATGATCTCAACATTATACATTTTTTGCTCTGTTTTAATGTATGGTTGATATCTTGGCATAGTACATTAATTAGAGAGTAAAAGTAATTCATCACTCAAAATTGAACTTTTCTCACTTGGCTAATATTAAATGGTCATAATATAGGCAATTTTTTAAAAAGTAAAAATGTTATGTTTAGCTATTTTCTAATGTACAGTTTATTGTTGATTTAGCCTAGATCATAGAAGTGAGCCCACAAAAGCAATCTTCAAATATTTTATATTTTGTTGATTGCAGCCTTTGGGTTGTTTTTATGTAATTATAAAATTATGTATTTTATATTATGAAAATTTTTAGATGCGGTCATCTGAAGGATAGATAACATTGCAGAGTTTCTGTGAGGACATCAATAATAATATTTTTATATACCTACTTTTTTATAAAATATATTTCCATAAAATGTCTATAAAGTAGAAAATATTGAGGTGGATTCTTATGAAAAAATATATCCTGGACATAATTACTAAAAATCTGCATTATTACTCTACATACCCACAAACTTACTTTCCAAACTGACCATACCTGTAATAATGTGCCTGACCACAAGCTTAGGATATGATTTAAGGTTTTATAATACCCACATTATTGAATATTTTCTTCTGTCTTTTTGAAATGGAGAAACTTTCAGGGAGGAGTAGGGGGAATGATAGCAATGCTAAATGGTTGATTTTTTTACCATGTAATCAAGGATACAGAACTCAGGTAGAGCTTCTTACCTCCCTAATTGTCATCCTACTGTGGGAAGAGGTGCACGACCTTCAGAGGGAGAAGTGATATTGGCTCCTGGGACAGGAGCTGCTCTGAGGAATAGGATTCCACACTGCTCAGCTTGAGTTGGGTTGAGTTGAATGAGGGCCTCTTTGTCTACAATCACTGAGACCACCATGAATTTAGGTGAGGAGTGAGGAAAAGGACTTCTTTCTCAGGGCATTCAATAGAGTTGAATTAACTTGAATGTATAAAAAGTATCAAGTTTAAAATGTAATAGTCCTATTTTAATATACTCTTGGTTTGCTAAGGCGAAACATAATATGTAATACTGTATTTTCAGGGGCTATAAAAGCCAACAAAACTATCATGATTTAAGTTGCTTAAAAGAAATAAAAAAAAAATTAGGGTTCCCATTATGAGAAAGGCCAAGTTTATAGGCTTTTCAAAAGTTATTAAAATAATCCAAATGTCTAGAATTGGACATAGATTTCTGTGTCTTATTTGAGGAAGGCTTGGTTTTGTTTTGTTTTTATATTCTGTAAGATCCCTTTGAAATACAATTGCAAATCAGCAACAGCTAGGACTTTGACCATAATGTGTATACTTTATTGTTTAAATTTTTAAAAATACTGTCATGTTTTGTTTAACTTCTCAAGCAAGTATGCTAGTGCAGACGATCTGGTTTCTTCCCTTTTCATGTTTTCATCGGCATACCATTGGCATATCCCATGTCATTTAATGCCTCATAATTTATCTGTTTCACTCACCACCCATCCTGTCTGTGCAGTGAGCTTCTTATGCTGCCCAGAGCAAAACGAGGACGAAGTGCAGAATGCCTACATACTACCAGGTAAATACAGGGATTTGGTGATGCTAACTGTGTGTGATGACTCTCTTTCCATTCTACTATTCTTCCGTCTTTTCCCTAGTGGTACATAACATTATTTTCCCAAGTATTCAAAATTTGTTTCATTTTATATGGAGGTTGTGGAAAAGCTTCCAAATATATTTTAATTCTGATTCAGGCAGTTGACTTTTCTATTTGTATACTCAAAAATACAGAGACCGGTGAGCCTCTGCAGAACTGTTTACACATTCCTTAAACTGAAGAACCAGTTTCTGCCATTAAAATCCTAGTGCTCACTGTGCGCAGCCCCACCCCAACACACACACCTGTCTAGTCACCAGAGGTCTGATCTACTGTGCAAGGCACTGTTACTGTTTTCATGATTATAAGTTTGCTTTTTCTTTTAGCCTTTTTAAATTTCCTTTTAAACAATCTACTATTGTTTATATTTTGTTTGCCGTTAATAAAACCTTTACCAGTTTATTTTTTTTTGTGTGTGTAATTTTTCTGTTTTTGTGATTTATGTGCACTTTGAGAAAAATTGGTTGTGTTGATTGTTTAGAGTTTTTAATTGCTGAGCTTCAACTTCCTTCATGATAAAGAGAGGATATCTGACTTGCTAAACAAGGAAAATAACCTGTATTTAGTATCAAGCACAGTGTTAAGTATTTAATGTACTTTATCTCAATTCCCTGACAGTAACTGTGTGATATTATTATTCTCATTTACAGATAAGGAAAGATGATAAGAAAGTTTAATTTGATAAGGAACAGAGCAAGAATTCAAAAACAGGTCTATTCAACATTTTCCACTAAACTAGTTTTTCCAAAAATATGTTCTGAGAAATTAGTCCTATGTGATGTTCCACTAATAAAAGTGTTTTACTCAGACAGATTTTGGAAACATTGCAAATTAAAGCCCCTCCCTGGAGATTTACTATGCACAGCACATAAAAGTCATGTACTAAAGAAATTTCTCATTGTTTAAGCCATTTTTCCTTACATCACTTAACCATCAAACTCTTTTGCATAAAATATATCCTCAGAAAGTAATGCTAAGCAGAAAATACTGTGGTTGCCTGACTGTACTAGATACTTTTACCTGTTATCTCATTTAATTCTCACAGCGTCCCGCAGAGAAAGGCTTAACCACTTGACCTGCATTACCCAGGTTAACAGCCAGTAAGTGGCAAAGCCATGGCGGTAACTTAGACCTTCATACTGTAAATTGTATGCTGTTTTCCATTCATTGTCCCATCCTATGCTGATCCCTGTTCCTGAAAAAATGACTTTTGAATCAATTAATTAGAAGTTATATAGCATCCTCTTACTAAGGATAGCTGCCTGAGGTTAGGAGTTGAAGACTATTGTCTGTAAAGAGACAGAATTGTTAGTTCCAGTAAAATTTGTCTTCAGTTTGTGATCAAACATTGAACTCGAATACATTTTTAAACTGAAGCTTTAAGAGTTTTCCTTGGGTTCAACCAGTAGTATACACATGGCTATACCAATGGGGTATTTGATGTTATGATGTGCTCAGCAAATGTTATTCCCTTCTCTATTATCATACTTTAATGTAAGCCAAAATAGACTTTCGCAGTGAGCAATTTATTAAATTATCAAAAAATTAAGTGATTAACAACCTAGTTTGCTCTGGTGGTATAGATAGTTCAGAAGCCCTCATTGATTTTAAAGGAATTCAGATAAAGTTTGGCCTTGTTTTGCCCATTTTTTGCTGCATGAGATTTCATATTCTGATTTGCATCTATTGCCCATCTCACCCAATTTCCAATTATAGATTATACCTATGGTCAGGTTTAGATCGAGAAGCTTATAATGAAATAACTTGCTTCACTAGAGTAGCTTCTTGATCTTTTGCCACTTCCTTTCGTAACCTAATTGAGTACCATGATCAACCTCGTCCCTGAAACGTTGGTCAGTTATTGACTTACTAGAATATTAACTCTTAGTCATATTTTAATTCCTAGATTACATAAATTATTTGGCTAGTACTTTGAGCTACGAGTTGTTTACTTCCATGGAAGCAGGTATAATATTAAATCAATAATTACATAGTAAGTGTAAATATTGGTAATTCATATAGAATAGTTAGCAAATTTTTTCAAATTAAAGGAATTAAATTATAATTTTGAGTTATCTTAATTATGAAGACAGATGTCTATGATTCCATATTTTAATTATTCTATTCCTACCTTCAAATAAGCATGTTGCTTATTTTGAAAAAAAAAAATCAACAGCAAAATATCCATCAATGTTTGTAGCTTTATAGGCCACCTACATTCTTCATATCCTAGTAAAATTTGCTTCATATATATCTTTCTGTTTCCTGCGTGCTTGTGTGGCCACGTTCCAGACATCTTGTTAGGCATTATAAAACCTTACCACCCAAGAGCCTTTATTACAGAATGGTTCTCACTGGGATAGTTACAGTAAGAGCCATAACAGTGAGTCCCAGTTACAAACGAATCCTTTGCCTATTAAAGACAGCAAATTTACATTCTAACAAAGCATTAACATTTTCCTTGAAATTAATTATACACAGAGAAACATTTAATTAATGGTATCTAAAATAGTTTTAATTATAAAACATGAATTCTAGATTCCTCTAAATGAAGTCCTACTCAAATGTCAGAATTCTAGTTGTCTTCTTTGTCATTTATTTCTTGTTTTACCTGTTGATTTTAGTTATAACAATTAATTTCATATTATTTTATTTTTGGATGATTTTAATTTGTGAAGCTCAGTTCTGCCTGCACATACTCAGACCAAATCAGTGATTAGACAGGACTTTCCCCTTCATCGTTTCTGTTTTAACGCAAAAGTATTGAGATTTACTGATGAAATATTGGTTAGGTAAGAACATGTGGAAGACTTACCTTCCACTTCCCTTGTCTAGTGCTGTGAACCAAAATAGCTGAGTTGTAAAATTTTTCTCCTCTGATGTCCTTCATTTTGTTTTGGTGTGGCATCTGTTCTTGGTAATGAAGTTTTAGGCATTTTGTTGTAGTGCTTTTGTATCCAGTTTTTTTTTGTGTGTGTGTGTGTGTGTGTTTTTTCATAAGCAGGTGTGATTTGGTTTCATTTTTCAGTCTGAGACCCTTTTTAAAAAAATTATGCAAAGCAAATCAAGCATAATCTTTGTTTAGTTTCATTTTCTAAACAAAATTTTTGCACCGTCATCCTGTCAGCTCTTTCACACCCTTGTGAACTGAATCATGGTGATTCTACATTTTATGTAAAGGGGACATTATTTTATGCTTGACTCTCTAACATGGTCTTCCTTTCTTTGTTTTCTTTGTCTTTCTCTTCTACCATTGGATGCAATGCACTGGCACTAGTGAACTGCAGCCCTCCCTTGACAGGGCTAGGAGTGCTAGTACCAACTGCTTGAGACCAGATACTAGTTTGCATTCACCAGAACGAGAAAGGTATAAAATGAAGACTTTCTTAATTTTCTATCATTTGTACTAGTGATTTTTTTTTTCTAATCACTTTGTTTTGTTTCATGTGAGTCTTGCAGGTTTATTCATTCATGTTCACTTTGCTAATTGTCTACATGTTTCCCTCCCTTACTGTACACGTCTGTGGAGAGATATGTGTATGTGGATAAACACAAGGGCCCATATACACATATTTCCATGAATGTCATTGCAAATGGTGTGGCGTAACTTCGAGCTGCTTCTGGCTGCCGCTTTCCCCCTTCTGTTGCTGTTTAGTTGTTTTATTTACATACGACTCAGGGAGCCTTCAGTATGCTGATAATGTGATAAGGTCCAGTGAGTTATCTGAAGGGGAGGATCATTTTTCTATTAGTCCAACTGATAAATAGTATTTATAGGTTCAACAACAATCTTCTGTAACCTAAAAATAAGAAACCTATTTAGATAGAATCCTTCCCCTGTGCATCTATGTTCACTTTTTAGCCAATCTGCTCTTTGATATAGAACCAGTTTTGCATTAAATTATATATTAATAACAAAAAATGGTATGTTTACCATAGATTTCCTGATTTCTTAAAAAAATAAATACATAAAAAATATATGTATGCATATGTAAACACACAGTTTTGCTTAAACTTTTAATTGATGAGTAAACGATTCTAATTTTAAATTAGATGTATTTAATGATTGTTACACTGCAACCTAATTGTGAGCAGCTAATATTTCCATTATGATGGAACTTTCTGTTCCAGTAAACTTGGTTATAATTGATAGTCTTGGTTATACTTGTTACCTGTTTTCAATTAGAAGTTACCCAGTGGAAATTTGCATGCTAAGTCTACAAATCTTGCAGAAAAATATTTAGTCATGCTAATGTAACCGTCTTCTTCTTCAGAGACTGCTTAAAGCTTTTCTTTAGCAATATAACTGGTCTTATTCTAGTCACTTATTTATCATATGTTTATACAATGGAATGATAGGTACAAGTTACATACTCATTTTTTAGTGTCCTCATAAGTTTCCACTAAAAATCCGTTTATTTTGTATTCTTTATATTTATAAAATTTGTAATATGAAAAATAAAATTAACTATATTTTGTATTTTTTTTACATTTGTAGTAGAATTTTAGTTGAAATAATTATATACTGACTCTTCAAAAAGCACAATAAATAGTATTTTATTTTGTTACAGAATAACTCCAAAAATAAATACAATAGTAGTGAGGAAAATTTTTTTAGTTTTTATTACTTCCTTATATGTTTCTAAACATATAAGGAAGTTATATTTTTAGTACTAAACAAGGGCATAAATAGCTTAAGCCAGTGGACTCTTCTGACTATAACACCACTCGAACATTTTTGATACCATCTATGTCAATGTTATCTAATAGAAATATAATACAAACCACATGTGTAATTTAAAATTTTCTAATTGCCTTATTGAGATTATTTAAAATTAAATTATTTTAATGCTTCAATTAACCCAGTATGTCTGAATTATTATCATTTTAACATGTACTCAATTAAACACCACTCATGAGATATTTTGCATTTCTTTTTTTTTTTTTACAATAGCCACATGTAGCTTGTGGCTGCCATATTGGACAGCACAAGTCTGTTTTCGTATTGAAGATTGTCTGGCATGTGTTCCCCTGTGACACTGAAGCCACAGAGTTCACAAATCAGTCTCTCAGATTATACCCTTGAAACAGCTCAACCTGTAGAAAAATAATCTGGCCCCAGTTAACATGGTCAGGTCATCATGGAGGTCAAGTCATCATGAAGTTTAAGTGAGAATACTTACATTTGATAGAAAAACATAAATGTGATTGAAAGCCTGTATTCATTCTATACATCAAATAAAAATAAATTTGTTATTAAAAAATGAAAGGGGGCAGGGAGTGATATTATCAATGATTTTTAATTTATTTGGGTTACTTTGTTGCCAAGAAGGAAATAAAGTGAGATGTTTTCATAAAGAAAATCAGAGAAGTTATAGATGCTTATTGGTTTGAAGGATATGGACCTCAAGTGCCCTTTTGTGCCCATACCTATAAGCAGATTTGAAGCAGTACATAACAATATCAACAGGGGTGACATTTTTCTCTTTGGAAAATGTACCTAAAGTCCCCAGACAGGATGTGCAGAGAGTATGAACAGGGAGGCTTAGACTCTAAGCCTTAGAGCAGCGGTTCTCAACCTGTGGGTCGCGACTCCTTTGGCAAACGACCCTTTCACAGGGGTCGCCTAAGACCATCCTGCATATCAGATATTTACATTCCGATTCATAACAGTAGCAACATGACAGTTATGAAGTAGCAACGAAAATAATTTTATG